AAGCAGACTCCCTGCTGAGCAGGGAGCCCGATGCGGGACTCGATCCCGGGACTCCAGGATCATGACCTGAGCCGAAGGCAGTCGCTCAACCGACTGAGCCACCCAGGCGCCAGAACGTGCCCTCCTTAATACCCATCCTCCCACCCCCTCCCCTCTAGAACCCTCAGTTTGTTTTTCAGAGTCCATCGTCTCTCATGGTTCATCTCCCCCTCCAATTTCCCCCCCCTTCATCCTTCCCCTCCTGCTATCTTCTTCTTCTTCTTTTGTTTTTTTTTAACATATATTGCATTATTTGTTTCAGAGGTACAGATCTGTGATTCAACAGTCTTGCACACTTCACAGCGCTCACCATAGCACACACCCTCCCCAGAGTCCATCACCCAGCCACCCCATCCCTCCCACCCCCCACCACTCCAGCAACCCTCAGTTTGTTTCCTGAGATTAAGAATTCCTCATATCAGTGAGGTCGGATGATACATGTCTTTCTCTGATTGACTTCTTATGCGTGAATAGAGGAAGGAAGGAATGAGTTGAAAGACTTGTCCACGGTCACAAATTAGTAGCTGGAGGAACTAGAACCATCCCCCGCCCCCCAATCTCCTGACTGCCCACTAAGTACTCCTGAGTGAGACCAGAACATGCATGAAAATAGCTAGGAAAACTCAAGCAGGTATCTTAGATCAGCTCCCAAATGATCCACTTAAGTCCATCCCTGGGTAAAAAATGCAGCACACCAACACCAGCACATAAAGAATGGTCAGATTTTCCATGGTGTCTCTAGATCAGTCCCCACCTGGCAACAGTAATGACCCTACAAGTACATCAAGGGCCTTCACCTTCATTAATCTCTTTTTTTTTTAAAGATTTTTATTTATTTATTTTGAGAGAGAGAGAGAGAGAAAAAGTGTGGGGGGCGGGGCAGAGGGAGAGGGAGAGAAGCAGACTCCCCACTGATTGCAGAGCCCGACTTAGGGCTCGATCCCACAACCCTGAGATCACGACCTGAGCTGAAACCAAGAGTCAGCTCTTACCCGACAGAGCCACCCAGGTGCCCCCACCTTGATTAATTTCTTAAGCAGCTTCTACTTCATTGCCTCTTTGTTTCAGAGTCAAGATAGAGGCCTCGGAACCAGAATTTTACCAATCAGCCAGTATAAAGTGGTATAGATGTATCAAAGAGTGCAGAATTCTCCCATCTCCCCTTGAGGGACAAGAAAGGGGCAAAATGTCATGCTGGCCCATGATACCTGAAGAGTGCAAGGTATCTAAAAATCCCTTTCTAAGCAAATTTCCCTTCTAGGTACATATAATTCCGTTTTTACCAATCATGAAAGGTCACATGATATGTAGGCCTTTCAGATGCTATTCAACCTTCATCAACCCAGACTCCACATCTGAAATATGAACACGGAAAATTATTTGAGGGACTCTCTTCTTAATTCCCTCAAAGATGGTTCATAACCCGGACCATCCTATATTCCTAGGAGAGGTGATCCATTATGTATGGGCATTAGGGCTTGATTCTCTCAAAGAACAGTGGCTGAGAAACATGCTAGAGCCGTCTAACATGCTACATGTCCTGAACATGTCACAGTTGTGTGGCTATGCGCTCACGTGCACACACACGCACACGTGCACGCACACACACACACGTTTCCCAAAAAAGCCCTTTTTTTTAATGAGCTCTTAACGATGCAAGTGGATACATTACCTCTAAAATTTTGTCAGAGGGAAGAATTCATTTGTATTCATGTGACACAAAGGCATTGTTTCTTTTTCCTATTTGAGAAGCATTAACAGGAAGATCAGCAAGTCTTTTGTAGATATGCAAATTATAACTCAAACAAGAATAGACTGCTGGTATGTTTGTTATGAAGAATATTAAGTGGATTTTGTAGGCAAGTTAGACCAACATGCATTCCTCCTGAAGCATTTGGGAAGGTCTTTCCAACTTTGCAGTTAATCCACCAACAATTCCGGAGCAGCGCCCTCTTAAATGGCCTGAGAGGAGGTGATGGAGTAAAAACACGTTGTGTGTTTTGCCAGCTGATTGCTAATTTTTTTTTCTTTACTTAAATTGATTGATTCAAATCTCTTGTGGAAAACAAAAGTCCGTGATAAGTCTGTCATCTTGTCATTTTGGTCACTAGTTTGCAATGGTAAAAATCAGTTTATAGGTGGTAAAATAAAGCCAAACTTGAGAAGGAATTCACATTTATAGATTGCCTGCCAGGAACCAGGCAAAGTGCCAGGTACTTTGCACCTATAATCTCATCTAACCGCCATGAGGTAAGTGGTGTTCTCATATCCCTTTTACAGATTAAAAATGTGGGCCTCAGATTTACACAGCCACTGACAGAACTAATGGGATTCAGACAGATGTCCATGGCTCACGTGTTCAGGGTTCTCAAGGATTCAGCAGATCTTCCTCCAGTGATGACAGGAAAATAAATTAGGGCATTTTACTTACTTTTCAGATGTATATCCCCTATTATGCAGCAGACAAAATCTTTGCCAAAATATGACCACCTTTAACTTACCTTCATATAAGATCAAATGGAATGGGGAGCAGTAAGATGAAGAAGTTAAAATTCACGAGTGATACTGTAAACATGACCCTCTTGCCATGGCTGATTCAAAGGAACAGTATTTCCAAAGAGCTGGTGTGCCATGTTTCACAAGGAAAGGTAAAAACTCAGAAGACTGATGCCCCACTGTCCTTAGAATCCTGTGGTGGAGGAAACATATAGAATATAGTTAGATGATTTAATGATGTTCTGTTATTCTCAGACTGTGGTAAGTACGTCAGTTGGCCCAGAATTATTTTCACTACCTTATTCATTTGAAAATTTCAAGTTCACTGATGGTCTTTAATTAGGTTCCCAGGAATTAGAAAATGTGTTCTCATGTCTCAGCTAGAACAAGTGTCTGGGATTCACTATCAGGCATCATTTAACTTCTAGAAAATCCACTGTCCCTGCCTCTTAAAGAAAGAATTTGGGTCTTCCCCCTCCTTGACATGGAGCCTTGGGGACCTGCTCAGAAAATAGAGAAGCGTAACTAAAGTATTTTCTTTTGTCCAAAAGCACAATGCAGAGGCACTTTAAGGATAGGAGAAAGTCCTTCTGCTAAGCCTCTTGCAACAAAGCATTAATATTTATTAACTTGCACTCTGCTATAGAATGAATGTTTTATGATCAAAAATGATTAACAACAAAATGGGAATTTCAACCACAAGCGACCCACTCTTCCAGTGATAAAGAACTCAGGATGGAGTTAGCAAACCACTGTCTCCGTATTTTGGGGGACTCTCATGCACTTATCCAGACAAAGGAGTAATTGAATACTGCTCCATTACTGGAAAAAATCCCATCCATTACTGGAAACAATAATCAAAAAGTTATGAGCTTCCTTTATCACTAAGCGTCAACTAAGATGAGGCTATGAATTAATGTTATATTAATGCTACATTAACAAATAAGACATACATTAAAAGGAATGAGGGATATTGCAAAAGCTCAAAATTACATATTTTAAATTTAGATTAGGTCAACTCCCAAACAATTCAGAAAAGAGAGGGCTAGTTTTTTTTTTTTTCCAATTTTGAACAAAAGCATGCCTGTCTCAAGTTTTCCTGTTCACTCATTCACTATGTATTGAGTAGATTCTGTATGCCAGGCACATAGAAATGGATTTTGAAATTGGAATCAAGATCTAAAAAATGACTTTTATGAGATCTGTACTATTAAAGGCTGCCCTTACTAAATCACTTTGTGATTTCTTTAACAAACTACTCAGTCTTACTATAGCTTTTCATGGTGAGTTATTACATACTGAACATGAACGAGAGCATCTCAACTCCATAATGAAGGTACACACCGCACAAAGGCACAGAAATAAAAACCCAGTAGCATTTATTTCTGTCCTGTCAATTCTGATGATTCAGTACAGGGATAACTGTACTGGACCTTGTAACAATGAGCTTGTTGAATGTTCCTTTTCATGGTCTTGAGTGAAGTCTCTACCTAAATATTTTAGGAGTAGATTTCCAAAACATCTTGTTTCCATCGTGTCTAAGCAGTGTGGGGAGGGGGACAAGCGAAGATTTTGGAAGCAGACCTGGGTGTTAATTCTGGTTTTGTGTGTAAGAGACTCTTGAAAAACCTATTTTACCTCCAGTTCCGTTTCTCCATCTACGAGATAAGCATGAGAGCACCCACCTTGCGAGGATTGTTGCAAGGAATACAGATAATGTTTATAAAGCAACTAGAACTAGCAACTCAAACTCACGATAGGTTTTGCTTTTCTTTTGATATCAAAAATCTGAAGGACTTACTCTGTTTGGGGCAGTATAATTCACCACGAAAGTAAAATAATGCAAAAACAAACAAAGACAGAGATGAACATTTTGATTCACGCTCATCTCACGAGACACGTGTTTGACATTCAACATTTCCACTTAAATAAGGTGTCTAATAAGAACAGTGTTAATTTTTGAATTAACAAACCTTCAGATGACTGAATGGGCTTGACTGAACAGATCACCCTGGCCCCCACCCCCTCCCCAACCCTACTCCAGAATTCCTTGATTGCTCTGCTGTGCCCATTGGAGTATGGACATCGTGGAGAAGAGAAAGAAAAAGCAAAATGAGCAAACATTAAAATTACTTGTGGTTCATCAGCAAATGAAAGATCGACCTCACAATGACACAATCCTTCACATGTCAGTTTTTGAGTATGATGAGAGCACAGACTCTAGCTTCTGTATCAACTCAGCATATAAATGAACACATTACTCTTCAAGTATAATCTTGCTGTGACTGGGGAACATTGACCATAAAACCTGCTACCCACAGTGGTATTAGGAGGATGCAAACTCTGTTTTCCCTGTACCGAAGAATTGGTTTAGCCTTCTCTCTGTTTCCTCTCTGGCTGGTTCTCCTTTTCGTATTTTGCTCTTTTTCCTCTGACTGCCGCCTCTTCCTTTTGAAATCCTGCAGGTCGTCCGGCCATATCAGACCATGTCCAATCCCATGAGCAAGCTCACTGTTCTCAACAGCATGCATTCCCACTTCATTTTGGCCGACAACGGGACCACCGGGAAATATGGAGCCGAAGTGAAGCTGAGGAGACAACTGGAAAAGCATATTTCTCTCCAGAAGATAAACACAAGTAAGTAGGCTGCTGTTCCCACTGCCTGGCCTCGTAGGAAGCCTGTGGAAAGTGAGTAACTACAAGTATACCGTGTGGCAATGTTATAAGAACTTGAGCAAGTTTCAAACAGGGATCATTATGAGTCTGCCGGGCCGGTGGTTAGAACCCGAGGGAAGTCGTCTGGGGGAGGACGCCTGGACACGGAAGACAAGGGATCACATGATTAGCGGACTAGTGCTCATTTGTCATATGCGAGAAACTCAGCCCCCGCTGGGGTGTAGGCAAGCAGATACGCTTTTCTTTCCAGACTTTTCCTACATCCTTTACACAGTACTCTAAGGAGGAAAGGCACCCTAGAGAAATTGTTTCTATTTGTTAAGCTATTTTTGTTGGCCAGAAATTTTATACATACGTATGTTTTGATCTTAGCAGAGATCTGCCTATGGTTGGGAATTTCAAGGCAACTGGCATTCTCTAAACAAAAGTACTCTGTGTAAACATCTTCATAAACTTTAATTCTATATCTTAATTCTATGTGTGTATTTATTCATTGTCTTTAAATATATATATACATATATATTTAGATATATGTGCCTGTTTATGCGCACTACAAAATACATATCTGTGGCGGTTCTACTGAAATTACCTCTTAGGTATTCATGTGTTCTATGCTGTATTTATTGTGCCCACAACTAACTATGAAAAGGTAACACTGTGCAAACAGCAGTGCTCCCCAAATCAATAAGTGGCTTGCATTTAAATGTAACAGAGGTATGAAAGTCATCTACCATCTCTCCTCACAGTGATTTTAATTTCTTTTCACAAAGTAACCCTTGAGGAGGATTCGTGGCAGGCTCAAGCTGTAGGGGGAATTGTGTGTCTCCTCAGGACAACTTGGATCTAATTGATCCACCTTTCAAAGCCTGCAATTCTAAATAACAAAAGATTCTCTTTGGCTAGATAAGTTTCCAAAAGCTCGGTGTGCTGTGATTCAGCTTGTCCAAATGGTTGCTCTCTTTTCATTTCTCTGTAACTGTCTGGGGTGGGTTTTCCTTGCCAGAGCCACCTTCCTCCCAGAACTGGAATGTTCGCCCTATCAGACCACACCTTCTCTTTCTTATACTTGCTGTGGTCTCAACTTCTGGGAGCTACTACTATTTTGTCTTTTTCACAGAGGTGTCTGGAATAGTACATTTTGGCCTAGGCCTGAAGTCCAAGTTGTATTAGGAAACTGTCTTCTATCCTAGAATCCCCAACTGTCTTTGGAAAGAGAAAACAGGATTATCCCAAGCTAGACATCTTTTGGAAAGAAAAAAATAGAAAAGACTAGAAAATCTATCCAGAAATCGGCGGAGATCAAATGTAACAAAGCACTATAACCAATAGGTAGTAGGTTTTGTAATACTAAAATTGAATTGTATTGCAATAGTGGATAGAAAGGGCAAATGTTATGTTATGCGTGGTACCTATTAGATTTTGACTTTTTATACACCATCAGGTTAAGAAGGAGAACCTCGGTGGGAGTGACCTGAAAGATGCAGGATGGGAGCAGGACAGACAAAGAGCAAATTCAGGGTCAGATTCAGGGTGCTGATGAGGCGAAGCCTGTCCAGACCAGCAAAGCCTGTCACTGGGCTAGGCGCCGGGGTGGCAGCCGGGCCGGTTAGTCAGTGGTGAGGGGAAGAGCTAGGTATGTGGTGGTGCAAGTTATACACCGAGCTCAGGGGTGCCAGGGGGCTTAAAACCCCGCCAAGGCTCTGTCTGCCAAGCTCCGTGCCTTACAGGCTGACCAAGGACAAGATGCTTTTTTTCTAACTGGTCATCCTAGAGGGAACATCTTTTTGTAATTTATCTGCCTGGAGGGACACCTCTCTTGTAAAGCTCCCAGAGGCGCTATATGTGTGGACAGCCCCGCAGTGGGGGGAAGGAGGGGGAGAGGCTCCCATATAGTGAACCTGGCCACAGTGAGGCACAGAGCCCAGAAGCATGGAGTCGAAGAGCGGGCCAGGGCTGGTCAGGATGCCAGGGATGCTGGAGGAGCTAGGACCTCCTGCACAGGCCTCATGCCATTCATAGAGACAGTGGACCCTTGCTGGATTACCAAGGCAGGTAGCAGCACACAGAAACATTGACAGGTGGGGGCCCAGTCAAGGGTCTAGGGTGAAAGATGTAGGGGAGAAGCATGCACCGCATACAGAGCTGAGGCACAAGGTCAGAGAGGCAGGGTAGAGACTCTTCAACGGCTCCAAGTCCGCAAACAGGATTAGGTCTGGGGTAAGGGATGAGCCCCCGTGGGTTAAATGACAGTAGTTGGAACGAGGTGGGGGCAGGGGAACCACATGGTCATTGGAATTGTCATAATTTATAAACATAATTTTCCTCCATGCTTTGAGATGCTTATTTGAGGATTTGCAGAAACCCACAGGCTCCCATTCAGTAAAAATAATTAAATGGGAAGAAAAGGTTAAAGACACCCAGAGGAGATCTCTGAGGTCACAGGAAGTAGAAAGGCTCAGGGCCAGCAGTTTGCTCACAAGCTATAGTGAAAGATGCCATGAGTTAGCTTTCACACCAGTTCTGTCCCTCAGCTTAATCTGAGACGGTGATCAACTTGTCCAAGGTGCCTGAGACCGTCTGTGATTTATCACTGAAAGTCCCGTGTCCCTGGGTCCCCTCAGGCCCCGGGCAAACCAAGATTATCCTCTAAGTGAGTGACTCGTGAGTCATTAGGTCTCCTTGTCTTTTTCCTGCATTCACCCCAAAAAGCAGGGAAGGGGCAACAAGGTGTTCAGACCTTAAGGAGTGTCCCAAGGAGTTCCCCAAAGGAGAGCAGGACCTTGAGGCCTCAATTCAGTTAACAGCAAAGTGCCCACTGAGAACACAGAAGCCTCCAGAACAGGACTAACAAGGGGTAAAGTTGACCCGGTTATAACAAGAAAGAGCAGAAGTCAGAATACAAACTTTCCATGCAATCAATCCCCAATCAGTACCTTGGAACAGCAACTCTACTGTCTAGGGTGGACACTATTTCTTTTCATTACATGACAATTAGCAGTAACGTAGTTCTTCCTATTAAAAATAAAACTGATTCTTAAAACCTCACTTACTTCTTTAGTTCCCTCTTCAAAAGTTGAAGAAATCTAAAAACACAAAGGTGGAACTCAATTTTGGGCCCCAGCGTGGTCTCTCCAAAAATGAGACACCACACCACAATTAACAGTGCTCATCACCCGTTCCACCTCGGAAGACTCCGGGATGCTGGGACTGCACTCAGCGTTTTCCTCAAGTGCCGTTCCTCCTCACCACTTAGGGGTGCCCTGCCTACCACGGTGGCCTTTCAACAAGTCTGTTTCTTCCTTAAATGGCATAATCTTCTGAAGGATATTTTCCTTAAGTATTAAGTGAATCCCGTTCGGGAGACCTTTCAACCCTTTCTCATCAAAATGCCAATTATGAATGATAATGAATCACCAGCACCGGTGCCTTCGATTCGTCTCTGCACCCTGGCCTCCATTATCTCGTCTCTCCCCCGCCCCCCTACTCATTCCTGCTGTCACCAGACCCTTCTCAAGGATTGTCCCTGGTCCCTGAAAGACTTGGTTTTTTAAAGGAGAACGCTCTTGGGCATGAGCAGTGACCTGCTTTGGAACGCTCTTCCACGTGCCACTTCCTAAACTTCACATTTAACGTGCACAGCCTCCAGCAGCTCCAAGCATGCCTTGTAGGATGCAGCTATTTCTTGAACTCCTGTTATAGACCAGCCATGGCTGAGTTCTGCCAAAAGCAGCTGTCGACAAATCATTGAGCTTAACTCAAGAGGGGTAGAGTAATAGGTAAATAAGGAAACAAATAAATATATGATGTCTGGTAGTGAAAAGAACTGTTAAGAAAAAGAGAGCAGAGGAAGGCATAGGACTGGACCTGCAGGCGCGGCTTGCACGCATGCGCACCTGCGCGTCGAGAGGCTGGGGTAGAGCAGGTGGGCAGGCAGCAAGGGCCTCTTTGAGGAGGTGACGCGGAAGCAGAGACCTGAATGAAGTCAGGGAGCCCACTGTGGGGAGAACATTCTGGAAGGGATTGAAAGTAGGGACAAAAGCCCCTGGTGTTCAAGAAAGAGCAAGGCCTTTGTAGAGGGCTGGGTTTTATTCTAATAGAATTGTGATCTGGCAAATTGTAGGATCTCCTTTCCGGCTTAAAACATCACTCTGCTGCTGTGTGCAGAGACCAGACTGAGGTGGGGGGCAAGCTTTCGAGCAGGGAGATGTGTTGGGAGGCCGTTGCAATCATGAAGGTGGGCGTGAGCGGTTTGAAATAGAATGGCAGCGACAGGGGAAGTAAAACATGGTCGGATTCAAATATATGCATAGATATTTTCTTAACCGGGCTTTTTTTTTTAAATATAAAATATACATAACATAAAAGTTACCGTTTGAACCATTTTTAAGTGTACAGTTCAGTGGTATTAAGTCCATATACATTGCAGTGCGACCATCACCACCGTCCATCCCCAGAACGTTTCCATCACCCCACACTGAAAAACTCTGTCCCCATTGAACTCTAACTCCCTGTTCCTCCCCACCTTCAGCCCCGGATAACCACTATTCTACTTGATATCTTTACGAATTCGCCTATTCTAGGTGCCTCATATAATCATATAATATTGGTCCTAAGATACATCATGCAGGTAGAACTCAAGAGGACTTGCTAATGAATTGGGCATTCAGGGTAAGGAGTAGACACATCAAGTGAAAGCTGCAAGGCCATTCTTAGCAACACTGGTATATTCTTAAAACAGGGGGCTAGGGAGAGCCCCGAAGGAGTAAGCTTTTACAGGGAAAAAAGGGGGGGATCTCTGGGGGAATTGGGACAAAGTCCCTTAGAGAGAGGGAGGTGGTGAGATTCAGTGCACAGATAAAGAGCTCGGCCGCAGGATGTGGAGAGCTTCATCCTGCATAGCAGGAGGGAGGGCAGAGCATATGGGCACACACATGGGTAGGATGGAACGTTTTCTGCTGGGA